GCCTCTCAGTGTTGTTGGAGAAGCTCCAGGTTAAGTGGTAATAACTAAATGATGTCACTGCCCTAATTCAGCCTCACTTTGGGAGCTCACTGTATTGTTCAGGCATCTTTCTGTTCGTATATGCTTATTGAGTGTCCACTTGATGGCAAACCTGTATACTGGGGCTTGATGCCAAGATGCTATATGCTGGGGATATAGTGAAGAGCAAAATTATCAGAAATTGCTTCCTAGGGAGGTTCCACCTAAACAACTTTTCAGAAAACAAGAAGCCCAAGGAACCCAAATCACAGTATCTCTTACCCCTCTCAGGTATACTGTGGGGATGGTTACTATGGGTAACCATAGAGGCAGTGTGAAGCAGTGGTTAAGAGTGTGGTCTGCTGGTGTGGATGTTAGAATCCCCTCTGCCTATTGTAAGACATGACACCCTTGTAAATTTCTTAATACCTATGTGCAGCTGTTTCTGTAAAATGGGCAAAATGATTCCTATTCCCTGGATTTGCTATGAGGTTTAACAGAGTTGATACGTAACAGATACGTGGCACATGACTGGGCTCATGATGAGTGTCCAGTCTATTATCGGTGCTGTTGTTAGCAAAGCATTCTGGGATAGAGCTGGTGCTGGGATAGAGCAAGTGGCCAGGGAGGACCCCAGGTATCGTCCTCTTGCATAAGATCAGATCCAGGAAAGGGCCAATTGCCTACCATGTTCTTTTAGCTCTAAAACGCTTTTAACTCCTCAACCTCTCCTGCCACTGGCTTCTCTCCCTGGCTCCCCCATCTCTAGTAATAACACTTTTGGGTCACGTCTTACTGTTTCTGAATCATGATGTGTCTACAGCCCATCCATTAAGGAAATATATAATGAACATCCAGTGTGAGCCAGCTACTGCACTAGGCACTAGGACACAGTTGTGAACAAAGCACACAGAGGCTGTGCCCTCAGAAAGCTGGCAGTCTAATTCAGGGATCACAGACAGTGCACAAAAGCAATTAATATGTTATACCACGAGTCTGAAGATGCTCAGTGCCATGGAGAGCAAAGGCAGGAGGACAGGAGCTGCAGTTTTAAATAGGAGTCAGCGAAGGCATCCCTGAAAGGATGTCACAAGGGAGGGAAAGAGCATGTGCCAGCAGAAGGCAAAGCAAGTGTAAATGCCATAGGCACAAGTAGGCTTGGCATAGGGATGTGGAGTGAGGGAGGGAGAGTGGTGGGAGATGAAACCACAGGGAAGAGGCCAAATCTTCTTGTGACCATTGTATTGCCTTTAGCTTTTCCTTAGAGAGAAGAAGAGGCTGTTGGAAGGTTTAAGCAAAGAGGTCTGACTCGTGCATTTAAAGGATTATCCTAGCTATTATGTAGAGAGAAAATCATCAAGAGGCAAGGGTGGAAGCAGGAGTGGCTTGGACCCTGTTGGGTGAGGAGGCAGGAGAGTGGTCAGACTCTGAAGCCTACAGGATTCGCTGATGGATTGACATGGGATTAAGGAGGAAGAGAAGAAGTTAAGGATGACTCTAAGGGAAAACTGTGGGAGGAGCACATTTGGAGGAAGATCAGGGGCTCACCTTGGACATGTCAAGTTTGAGATGCCTTCAAGACAACTCAGTGAAGATGTTAGACAAGTCAGGGGTTCAGGGAAGGAATCTGAACTAGAGATACACATTTGGCAGTTATCAGTGGGAGAGGAGATTTAAAGCCTTGAGATTGAGAAACCTTGAGACTTAGAGATTGTGTATAAGAACTGATTGATACAAAGGCTAAGCATAAGGTCCTCCAATGTAAGAGATGGGGCTCTGGTGTTGGAAGATGAGAGAGAACCGTAAAAGAGATTAGAAACATTGATTGGGTAGAAGGAGAAACTTGGCTTCCAGAAGCCAATTGGAGAAGTTGTTTCAGGAAGGAGAGGGTACTGAGTGGTATTGAGTGCTACTGATGGACAAGTGAGGTGAAGAAATGAGACATGACTATTGGATTGGACCAAGTGGAGGCAATTGAGGACTGTGAACTGGGCAGTTTCTATTGGAATGATGGGCAAAATCCTGGCATCTCCTCCAGCCCATTGGAGTGGATTGAGAGAGGGGGAGGAAGGGAATGGGAGACAGTGAGTGGAAATAACCCTTTCAAGGAGTCTTGCTGAGAAAAAAAAAAAAAAAAAGAGCAGAGAAATGTAGCAGTAGCTGAAGAGGGTCAAACTTCTTCTTTTTTTTTTTTTTAATAAGATGGGGGAAGCATGTTTGTATGGTAATTGAAATGATCCAATAGAGAAGGAAATGGATGCTCATGAAGAGGGGAGAATATGTGAAGGGGAGATGTGGGCCTTGGGAGCAGAAGGCAGGCAAACATCAGGAGACAGAAGCCAAGAAGCTATGGATGTGCAAGTTCCCCTCTGTGTGGCTCCCACTTTCTCAGTAAGAGGGCAAACCAGTTATCAGAGACAGTGACGAGATGAGAGGGTAGGAGATATTAAAAGCTCAATGTGTTAATTTCCTAGGGCTGCCATAAAGTACCACAAATGGGTGGCTTAAAACAACAGACGTTTATTCAGTTCTGGAAACAAGAAATCTGAAATTAAGGTATCAGCAGGACCATGCTCTCTCTGAAGCTCTAGGGTAGGAATCCTTCCTCATTTCTGCTAGCTTATAGTGGTCTCAGGATGCATCACTCCAATCTCTTCCTCCATCTTCAGAGACCGTCTTCCTCCCCTTGTGTCCATGTGTTTTCTTTTTATAAAGACACCAGTCATATTGGATTAAGGTCTGCCCTACTCTAGTGGGACCTCTTATTAACTAATTACATAGGCAAAACCTCATTTCCAAATAAGGTCCACATTCATAGGTGCCAGGTTAAGATTTCAACATATCTTTCTGGGGGTATAAATCAACTCCATAACATGTGAGGACCAAGAAGAAAGTGTGAGAAGCCATCCAGGAGGAGGGAGAGTGAGGCCCATGGACAGGTAGTGGGATCTCCAGGTGCCATTGTGGCTACTGTGTGATATGTGGACACAGTGGACATACCAGGCCTGTGTGCAGGAGTGTTGCCCTCACAGTACAGACTCTGCCAGGTGCAGAAAGCATTGTTTGTTCACTTACTGTCCCCATTGAGTGGAAAATTAACAAATTTGGATTTCTAATTGTCACATAAAATGTTTCCCAAAAAACTACATTCTGATGCAACATTGAATTAAAAAGTTACTATGTACACAGAAGATTGCCTGTCACGTACCAGGCAACACAAGTACAGTGGAAACTGCCCAATTTCTTAGAAGAAACCATGGACCTTGCACAGCCTGCAAGGGTGCTGTAGTCATATAAAGGCCAGAGATGCAGTGGTCACCACCATGCTCATCCTCATGGCTTGTGGCAAAGATGGCTTGGGGGTAATCTCAGACTTTGGTTGTCTTACTGAAGAAGAAGGTGGCTGGCCTGTAACTGGATGGATAGGTAGGTATATGTTGTTGCTGGTTGATGAGAGAGATGTTTGATGGAGATTTAATACAGTGTTCCTTTCTTCCTGGAAGCATTATTATTACAGCAAGGGTGTGTCTCTCCATCAGCAGTGACTCAGAAAGAAAGATGGATGGACTGCAGTGAGTGGCTTGGAGTGTGGGCTTCCTCCTGGCCTCTTCTGTTCTGCCCTTGTCATGGGTCTGACATATCCTCTGAGACATGCTTGGCCTTCCTAGATAAGCTTCTGGTCTCCCTTCTGAAATGGCTTGTCCTAAGACACCCTACCATTTGGCTCCTGAATCTTTCTAGCTAGCAGATGGCCTTCGTCTGGGGGGAGCAAACTTAACATTCTCTCCTGTCAGACCCTGCAAGGACTGGGGGCAATGGGGCAGAAGGGGCCAGGGTAGGCCTTACACCAGGCAGCTATGCTGGGCCTCTGCAGTGGCTCTCAGCCAGGCTGTCCATTCTCCTGGGCACCAGCATGCACCCGAAGGAACACAGACTGGTGCAACAGCAGCAAGTATATAGACTTTCAGGCAAACAATAGAAAGCAGTGCCTCTGGCATTTCGTGCTCAGCCTCTTTCAAATTAGAAAAGAGGAAAATTGGCAGAAGTGAACTAAGTTGGGTCAAAGGAGAAGAATATGAGGGAATTGAATTTCAGCCTGTTGGTTTGCCTTCTGCTTCATCAGACTACCCAACTCTGCCAGCTCCTCTGTAGGTTGGCCAGGTTGGGGTGGAGGAGCACACTGAACCTCCTTCAGTAGTTCTTCAAGGGCTGGATCTCAGGACCCTGACTACAGTTTTGCAGTAGCAGAAAAGTACACTTTATCACATCTTGATGGACTTTGCCTGGCATCGACCCTGTTGAAGGATGGCAGAGGAAAGTTCTTTTGTGCCCTGACAGGCCCTTGCTACAGACAGCGTTAGCTATGCATCGAGATGCATCCCATCCCCAGCTCTTTGGGGTCAGCCTGTGAAGGGGAAAAACCAGATGTAACAGGACCTGACTGGGCAGTGCTTCTGAACTTGGTCTGCATAGAAGACTCAACCTGGGGAGTTAAAAATACTAATGCCAAGGTCCCACTCTCATGGATTCTGATATAATTTGTCTGGGGTATGATCTGGGTGTCAGAATTTTAAAAATCACTGTAGGTGTTTCTAATGTGTAGACTTAAAGCTTTGGTATTCCAAGTGTGCTTCACACACCATAGTACAGGCATCGCCTGGAAGCTTCTTGAAAATGCAGAATCTTGGACCCTATTCCAGATCTGTGAAATCAGACCTTTATTTGATCAAGATGTAAGAAGGGGCATTCTTACGATCCTGCCACATGACCTGATGCCAAGCGTTTAAATGGGAGACACTTGTCAGGGCTCAGCATGGGGCATCATCAGCCACTCAGCAAATGGTGACTGTGGTGGGGCCACTGAGCAGAAGGAAGAGGGTGGTGGTGGGACCTGGCAGGGTCACCCAACTTAGTAGAGGCCTTTGCAGGCTGCTTCTCTAAGATGTGTCTCTAACGCACAGTCATTTTCAATGTCATTTCAGCGTTTCCAGGAGACTGGACCCCAAGGAGCCCCTGGGTAGCCAGAGAGCAGCTTCCCCAACCCAGAAGCAGGCTTCTGCTACTACTCCCGGCCACGAGAGCCCCCGGGAGATGAGGGCACAGGGCCCAGCAGGCCAGGAGGCTGATGGCCCCCGCAGGATGCTGCAGGTAGACAGCAGGACGCAGAGATCAGGGCGGTCCCCTTCGGTGTCACCGGACAGAGGCAGCACCCCCACATCACCATACTCCGTCCCACAGATCGCCCCCCTTCCCAGCAGCACCCTGTGCCCCATATGCAAGACCTCGGACCTCACGTCGACCCCCAGCCAGCCAAACTTCAACACCTGCACCCAGTGTCACAACAAGGTCTGCAACCAGTGTGGGTTCAACCCCAATCCTCACCTCACCCAGGTAACCACCCTCTGCGCCGCCTCCCCACCTCCCCACTACCCCATCACCATGTCTCCCTGGTTCCCTCCGCCTTTTTTGTTTAACCAATTCTCCTTTCCTGGTTGTTTTCCTTGGCTACCAGCTCCTATGTCTTCCTTGGGGTGTGTCCTGACTCCAAGCTGTGTGCAGCAGAGAACAAGCCCTGGCCCCAGATCTCCTGGGGAATTCTCATACCCCCTGAAAGCTTGGGCAGAGCCCTAGGTAGCGAGTAGAAATGCTTTTTGACTTGGTCCAAGTTCAGCCTGAAAATATGGACTTGGGCCAGAGATAGTCTTATAAACAACTTTCCCATGGATGCTTATTTGGAGAGAACCATGAGCAGCTAGAAAGCCCAAATAGAGGTGAATTATCTTGGCCCTAGGCCAGCCTAGACCTCAACGAGATGGACTGACAATGGTGGCTGCAAGAATGGGCTCAAGCAGATTAAGGACTGTGAGGCTGGCACAGGACTGGGCAGTGTTTCCTTCTGTTATACATAGGGTCACTGGGAGTCTGAATCAACTCGACAACATCTAACAATAACCTAACAGGACTGCCTATGTCCCTGGACTGTAGGCCCTGGAGAGGGATGCTGGTGAGGGGAGCAAGGTTTTAAGGATGACAGGAAACTTCCTTCAGCTGGGCTCTGGGATACTCCTTGTCTGGCCTTCATTTCCAGTTTACTAAGGGCCTGAGATGGAAGAGCAGCCACTTAAACCCAGAGAAATGAATGACCTTGGGGTACAGTAGAGAGCTAGGCCAGGGGCCATGCATTCACCCAGGGTGGCAATGTTCTGTATTTACTAAGAAACCACTGCAGGGCCATCTCCATGAGATTGGCCTGTCACCTGCCTCAGAAGAACCTGGGTGCATAGCCTCATCTTGGCTTTGTTCAGGATGCTTTGAGTTGCTGTGGGACGCTTAGCCAAGTCCCTGAAGACTCTCTTTGGTGACTGGAGGCTGGGTTCTCCACATCTGAATGCATCAGCTGCCTTTGAAATGAACTGAGCAGGTTTGCTAGCTTCCTCCCTCTCCTCAGGGGTGACCCATGGAAGTCACTGGATCGCCCCCTGGGACTCTGCCCTTGTACAGTGTGGAAAGGAGCTGACTGTAGATGCCCGCACAGCCACCTCTGTGATCCTCTTCAGCAGGAGTTGTCCGGACCACTGGGGTGGGGCATGAGTGAAAATAATTATTCACAGGTCAGGGTCTATTTGTGACATGAGGTGTGCTGTGGGTGTGGGATGTGATTTGCAAGAGGTAAGTGTGAGATTCCGAGGAAGGAGCTGCTGGTGTGGGGAGATGACTCACTACATTTGGAGTTGCTCCTGGAGTGTGGGGGCTTTCTGAGGAGGCGTGCAGGCTCGTGATTATTGCATCTGTGATTAGAAATAGGCTCATCCCTACACTGATCAGTTAGGTAAGTGTTCATTGTTCAGTATTTAGAAGAAAAGTGTGATTAGGCCAGGAAAGCTCACCTGTGTGTTTTTGCCAATGAGAAGTCAGAAACAGTGGGCCTCACTGGAACAGGAAGACTTGGCAGGCAGCCCATGCTGCTATGGGTTGCCCCTGCCTTGTGCTGGTCTCACCTTCTCTGGATTCCAGCTTCTCTGAAATGCTCCCTAGAGCTGGAGGACCTGGGCAGCTCTGAATAGGGTGGGCTTAGGTCAAAAGAGAGCCACACATGGTGGCATCAGTTTCTTGGTGGGCATCTGAGCCCTTGCCACACCAAAGGCTCTGTCTCTAATTTCACTCAAGCCCAAGACCTTCAGTGAGGTGGGAAGGGAGCCAGTTTGGCTGTGCCTGGAAGAACAGCAGAGTGGGAGGACCTTGGAGACACTCAGTCCATCTGCCTCTTTGTGCTGGGAGGAAGCTGAGGCTCAGGGCCAGGAGGAAAAGGGGCCCTCAAACTTATGCAGATCCACAGTGTTTGGTATGAAGAGCAGGCCTCTCAGCAAACTTTAGGAAAATGCTGGGCTGGGCAAATGAGATGGTTCTTTGCTGTGAGACTTCTCAGGGCCTTCAGCATCCAGAACTCTAAGACAGAGCTGAAGCCAGTAGCCTTTCACAGACTTGCTTCATAGATCATTTTAGGGGCTGGTGTTCCATGGCACTCAGTTTGGGAGATACTGACCTAGCCCATTCTCTGGGTTCTCATCTGGTGGGGATGCCTTTTTCTACTAGGATCTCTAGACAGAAAATCTTCTTTCAGTGGTTTTCCCACCAAAGGAAAACAATTCTTCAACCATGAAACATCAGAAGGGCAGCATTTGCACAGAGGGAAAGCTGGACAGATAGTAATGCATAGATAAGAAGGGCACAGGGAAGTGGTAGTCACAGGGAGGAGAGGGGAGGAGAGCTTTTTATCGTTGGGATTGTAATCGGCCGTGAAACCAAATGTGCAGAACTGTTGAGAGTAAAAATAAATCCATCTCCTTTGTAAATCTGTACCCAAATCACAATAAAAAAATTTTAAAAGATAAATTTTGGTCAATGACATGAGACAAAGTATATGTGAACTTCTGTATGAAAAGTGAATTTGCTCTGTAAATCTTCACCCAAATCCTAATTAAAAAAAAAAAAATTTTTAAAGAAAAAAAATAATAATCCTTGGCACATTTTCCTGGGAGTCTGGAAGAACTTAATTCTCGAGCAGGAGAAGTTGCCCTTTATGATTATGCTGAGAGCAGATTCACCTCCCTGTTCATATTTCTAGGAGAGGAGAAAACTCATTCATAGATTTGGCTCACACACTTGCTGATAGACCCACCCTGGTCAGGCCTCATCTGCCCTGGCCACTTCTCACTCAGCATGCTTCTGCTTGACATCATGTCAGCCAGGAAGGCTGGTGTTTTCTCTGGTGTTTCTGGGCTGACCTTCTACCTTTCCTGTGGTTCTTGGTATGTACAAAAGGCTGACATGTCTGGGTGGCAGAAACTTGGGAAGAGTGACCTTTTCCAGGAAACCCAACTCAGCACTCAGTTCCTTTTGTGGTTTTTCACTCCCAGGGGTGGCCCAACTAAAATGGAAGGTGGGGAGAACACTACCAGTCCTAGAACAAATGTGGTATAAACACAGGCCACTGGGAAGCATCGTGGGGGCCCTGTCACAGGGGAGTACCTATAACTTCTAGTGTGTTTAGCCCTGGACCGCTGCATCCTGCCTCAAAGGTCACCAAAGCTTCATCAGGGCATGTCAGAAGGATACATTGCTTCTTGGCCTCCCACTGGACAGAGGGAAGAATATATGAGGCTGGGAGAGGGACCAGGGCCACACAAAAGACATGGATGGCTCCAGGGCCTCTCTGAGATGCTAATGAAGCTGCTCTGAGCCTTAGGAAAACATTAACTGTGGAAAATGGAACTTGTGTGTGTGTGTGTCATGAGTAGAAAATCACTAGCTGGTTTGTACCTCAAGTTACAAACCCAATTAAGAGCGTGACAGAACTGTTATGTTGAATGGCTGCCTGAGAATAAATAAGTAGAAAGGAGGGAAAGAACTTGGCACTACTGGGCTGATGATCACCAGGACTCAGTGTTTTTGTTTTTCTCTCACGATATCTGTCAGTGTCTTATTACTTTAGCTAGGTCCTAAAAACCAGAAGACCAGCCTGGAGATAAGAACCACACATAAGGAGAACAGACAGCCCCATTTGGCCAGAAGCAGACTCTGAGATCTGGAATCACTACTTTTCTGGCCAGCAGACCTGGGCCTGAGCCCCTCCTGCCAACCCCAGGGCTGCTGGACAGGTACAACACTCACACAGACATGGTGCTTGCTATTCTGTCCATGCCAAGGTTGGCCAGCTCTCAAGGCCGTGTAGCAAGGAGGATGTCTTTTCTAGGTTCCTGAGAGCCTGGAGCACAGAGACTGGATGGAGATTGAGGAAGGAGCACTCTTGTTTGCAGAGGAGGAGAAGAGAGTGAGTTTTGGAAAGTCAGCTTTATTCTGGGGCAACAAACCCCAAACCAGTGGCTAGGTCTTCAGTTTTCCCACCAGGAACTCCCAGCCTTGGCTTTCCCATCCACAGTCCATTTTTTCTAAGGCTGAGGATGGCTCTGAACAAATGGGGCTGTCCTAGCCACTCTTCTTGGTGGAATCTGTTTCTTCCTGGAGTTGCCCATTCCTGGTAGTTTAGGACAAGTGAATAATTTAACCTGTTTGAAACCGCAGTAAAAGACTACAGGGTCCCTTCTTTATATCCAAACATTTCCCACCACCCAAAAGAGACTCTCCCTGTGAGGATGAACTGACACCAGGAGAACAGAGGTGTGGTGGCTCTAGGCTGTTGGCATTTAATCCCACTTAGTGCCTGGTGATGGGATGAAGGCAGGAATGGTTCTCCTCTCCTCTCCCTGGATATAGCTTCTTGGACAAGGATCTTAAACTTCCTGAACCTCAGAGTTCTCTGAAGGAGAAGCAAGAGTCTGGAGATTGGCCTCAGTGGCTTTGCTGATGTCCCATGCATGCTCAGGCCTGTTAACCCCTGTCTCCAATCTCCAGTGACTTACATTTGGACCTGCAACACCTTTCTCCCCTGGGTGGGAGCCGCTTGTTGCACTTGCCAGGCTTCCATTCTGCTAGCTGGGGGTAGGAGACAAGGCGTGACCATAAACCAGCTGGTGGAGGTTGGGCAGGCCAACGTTAAGATGGACAGTGGGGGTGGGAGTGAGCTGCTGGTGAGTATGAACAGTGGTCTGGGGCAGGCAAAGCCAGTCTCTGCCCCACTCAGAGCAGCCCCAGCTATACATCCTGACCTGGAGTTCCTCCAGATTCAATCTACCTTCTCCCTGAGAAGGGTATCACAGGAGTGAGTGCTGGGCAGAGGGAGGGCTGACTACATGCCTGCACTTCCAAGTCAGATCCCAGAGTCCTCCCAGAGCACCACATGAAGTGAGGCAGCAGCCTGTAGCTCAGAGGCCCACCCTCAGCCTAAGTGGGAAATGGCAGGGCTGCCACCCCATCCCCAGCCTGCCAGGTCT